GCGATAGTTGAAATAAATGACTATAAAATGCATCTGAACGAAACTGTTGCTATAGGATATGCTTTTTTGCTGTTGTTGTTTTTTTTTTGTTTGTTTTTTTTTGTAGTTGTCCCATGTCGGAAATGAGGACGTAAGTCAGTAGCCATAGTGTTCTGAATGACATAGCATCTGATTTTTCTGTAAGCATTTTTTAGCGCTTTATTAAAACTGAGATGGTCCTTTGCAGTAAGTAAAAAAAACACCCCATACTTATATATGCAGTTGATTACCTGCACAGAATAGTCAACTATTATAATTTTTTTATTCATTCACTATCGTCCTTCTTTAGTAGGATTCATCTTCCCACCATCCAGCTCTAAAACCAGGCCATCGCAACCAGCACACAGCCCCATCACCACTCAGAAAGGCCAAAAGCAAATGGGAAAGAAAAGAACAACAAAAGGGAAAAAATCTGTGTAGCACTTATACTTCATACCTTGTGCTGATGAGCCAGGGGCAAGTACACGGAAGCTGCACGGCCAGTTAGTATGGAAACTGAGAATTCAACCAACGGCGCAGAATAGCACTAAAAAAAATCGAGATTTGGTTCCAAGAGAGATTGGTACACATATGTAAACATTAGTGAAACCTTTAAGAGAAACAAAGTAAGAATGAAAAAAGTTTCAATCCAAAATATGAAAACCTAACGGCTCCAACCGTAGCTGGATAATGGATAAACCGCGATATTGGGAGGCTAAAGAAATGTCTGTCCATCTTGGGCGAGTATTGACAATTCCACCAAGCTATTTTTTTTGGCTAAGCCATGCTGCTTCCTGTAATTAAGCTCGATTATGTGTTTTGATGTGGACGAAAACAGCACGGAATCCTCCTTGCATCGCGTTTTGGAAGAAGAGAACCAAAGATCAAGATTATTTTTTCTGTAATTAACGAAGAGGTTCACAAAGAATGGCATTTCTGCAGCACTTTTAGTAAACAGGGAAAGATCCCAAATGCGAGCGAAATAGAATTGTCGATCTTGATGAATAAAGACATGCACTGCTTTTTGTTGGTTCAACATAGAATGAAACGTTTAATGGTTTAGGTATTCCAAGAAAATATTGTTATGGGATTTCTGAGCGACATTCAGCACTTTTCATCTATAAAGAATAATCTCCTCACCATTAGCGTATGCTCAAACCCCAAACCCTAACCCCAAATTTAATGTGACTTGAGGCTTTCATTGGACGATAAATTTTATCAAGAGTATATAGGCTAAAGATAAGTATTTTTGGACTTAAATGCAAAGGAAAAAACTCACTAAAGAGTAAAATATAAGTAAAAGTGAATAGTAATGTATTCCATAGAGTGTCTTCATTGTTATCAAGATTTTTCTCGCATTTTCAGAGTAATGGTCATTAAGAACACAATACAATTAGTGAATTCAGATTTCTTTGGTGCATTTGTCGAGAAGGAAAACATATTAAGGGGTGATATTTTCATCTCTTCGGCAACGTGCCCTCTCAGTGCATTAGCAAGGGGGGGTTATATGTTTTTATGTTAAAAAAAGTAAACAGCAAAAAAACAAAACAAAACAAACAAAAGCAAAGCAAAAATAACAAACAAAACGAAAAAAAAAACACAAACTTTTGAAACCGTATAGAAAATGAAATTCATTCACGTTATGTGCGACTCGAGTTTGGATTAAGCTTGTCACTCTCTTTCTTTCCGTGATATTTCTCAGGTAGACCTCGTTTTTACTTTCCACACCGGTATAAATCATTTTCGGCATTAACCTCAGCACGAATGTCAACAGCTGCAATTTTTCAGGCTTTCGTGTACCGAATGGAAAGTTGTAATTATAATATCTCTCAAGCTAGATTATCAGCATTGACATATCTCTGAGCTAAACTTGAACAGTTCAAATATCCAAAGTTAAAATCATAAAAAAACAAAAAAAAAACCAAAAAAAAAACGATATTTTTGGCAAGGAAACACCTCCCCTCAAAGCCTGAAATGAAGCACAAAGACCCTAGCCATAAACCATTTATCTCTTACGATTGCGATCGAACTCTCCTGAAAAGCGGGTTTTTTGACGGGATATAACTAATCAATAATGCAGGTCTTTCAAAGATAATATTTGTATTTCTGGGGAAAATATGACATATAATAACCCATTTTTATCTACAGACATTGAAAGTGAAGGATGACACCATGACTTTACCCACGCAATAGATTTACTTTCAAAAACAGAAGTGATCAGTAAACGCAATGTGAAGAAAGTAGACCGAATTTAGCATCTGTCACTTCATTTAAATATCGCAGACGGCGACAAACCTCCCCAATTATTATGCTAAGTGTCAAAATCAAGAAATTCGCGTTTTGTCTTCTGCGGGGTGCCAAATTGTATTTTCGCATTAAACTCGTTCGTATAGTGCTTTGAATTTTTATCTCAAACGTTTTAGAGGAGAACAGGGACCCCTGCGGTAGTTTTAGTTTTTTTACTTATCTTTTTTTAATGAAACTTATTTACGTACACACTTCTCCTTCCCCGCACGAAAAGTCATAGCAAATCATGAGCAGGTGTGAAAAGCAGGCTGAGTTAAAATTTTGAAATCCGTTGTGTTACATCAAATTGTCACCCTTCACTTTGATTAAATTCAAATGTATTCTCAAAATTTCCATTACCTGACTTTTCTTGACTGTTTTTTTTCGCGCCGGCTGCTTGATAAAGATCACCAGCCAATAATATTTCCTTTTATATTTTATAAACCAATCAGTACTTTCGTTGCAAATGTCTCAAACGTAAACAAACATGGCGGCGTTTCCAGAGAAACAGAACGTAATATATTTCGCGAAACTGACCCATGTTTGTATCGGCAACATCGGTTTGGTGGCTACAACCTCGAGGAAAAGATGAAACAGATATTGTGCAGTTATCATAATAGGTTTTTCCATCGTATAATTCTGGCCTAAGACGTATTTGGCACGAAATTAAGCAGAGGAAATATGGCATGTTACGAGACAGGGCTGACGACAGCTTGTCTTGTTCGCGTGCGAAATAGACATTCTGCAAGAGGAATTTACGTGTCCAGGGAATAGAGATTATGTGCTCTACAAGAGATAGATGCTGGGCATCTCCAAGAAACAATCAGCGTCTGAACCAGACATTCCCTCAAGAACAAACACCGTCTCAAGGCAGAGCAAACAGAAAAAACCCACGACTGACTCATCCAACAGAATCCGGTTTCTCAGGCAGATTTATTCTGTCGTTATTGGTCTTTATCATAAACCTCATTCTATTCGCATTACTTCTCAGTTTTGTGATTCTCGTGGTTCCAGTGTGTTTTTTCGCGAGGAAACTCATTCTTTATTTCAGTATTCGGCATTATCGCGATGGAAAGCTGAGCAAAATGTCGGCTTCCGAAGCTGTTTGGCTTCAAGCAAGTTGTGTAAATACAGCTCCGATGTCTAATGTTTTCTTTCTTTTTGAAGGAAGAATAACCATCGATGAGCTTGAAAGCTTTGTCAAAAGTAAACTTGTGCATCAAGAAATGCTTCTAGGAAATTTACGATTACTAAAACTAAAACAATCTCCCGTGCCGATCTTGAGTGGATATGGATGGGAAGAAATAGACAATTTAGACGTAAACAATTGTGTTTTTGAATTTAAAGGAAATTCGTCGTCAGATCCTGGAGATTTGAAAGAAATTAAGGAAATATCCAACTTCAGTGGTGGAGAAGAATTATGGAGAGTGGTCTTGTTTCCGAAATTTAATGGGAGCGAAGATACTGGGGTGCTGTTTCAAATGCATGAAAGCATTGCGGATATATTCCCCTTTGTTAGAATTGTACTAGACTCGCTTGATTACAAGACTGTCTTTCTCAAGAGGCACTGCTTCTTCCTCGGACGTTTAGCCTCTTGTTTCTTTGCTAGCTTCACTGGACCACTTGTAATTCTCAAGAGACTACTCATGACAAAGCAGGAAGATTTATGTGGGACTGATCATGAGGGAATGCAACAGAATAGTGCAGACGATACCTTCCAAGTTTATTGGTCTGGACCGATAGATTTTAAATCTGTCAAGCGGATCAAAGATGTTACTCGTACAGAAGGTAATATTATGTGATATGAATTAGTAGGAGAACTGGGAAATCTCCAAGAGGTTATATTCTTTAAAGTAATTGTAGTCAAATATTTCGCTGAAGTCAGAACAATTTTTTTCCAATAATAACAGGAAAAAAAACAAACACAACATTAGAGAAAGTGATAGTAACAGCGTAATTGGGATTACAAGTTAAACAACCGTTAAAATCAGATGTTAGAGCAACATTTGATGTGCAAAATGCTTGAGCAGTGTTTTATAAATATATGAACTTGTAGAAATGTTCTCCATTTGCTAACATAACTCCAATTAGCTTCTTTTTTTTTTACTCTATTTTTAAAGAAAATTATAAGAGAAGTTCTGTTGAAGTAGTCTCAACATTAAACAATATTGGTTCTGGCAAATGTTGAGTGAATTTTGGAAGCATTGCCTTAATCTATATGGACATATGTGTATTTTTAAAAAGTGCTTGTTCATTACTGTGGTTAGTAAAACACATATGCAACTTGTATTTTGCATCCTGAAGTCTTTAAGAGGGACCAAGGCAAATTTTTTTGCCAGCAGCCCAACAATCCTATGGGATTCACTTTCTTATTCTGTCCATTAAGCAGTGCTTTCAGTAAGACCTGGTACCCCTGGGAGCTCTGGTGGGTATTCTGTTGTAAGTTGAGACCTAAAACACCTTAGGTTTTTCTATAGTTCTTTCAGTTGAATTTCGGCTTTATGAACAAGTTTTGATAAAAATGACTGATATTGTCTTATCATATATTCAGCATACATTCAATACATTTCCAGCAAAAAAAAAAAAAAAGATTTTGAGATTCCAAGAACATACTGACAAAAATTTCAGTAACCAGTAACCATATGTCCTTTCAGTGGACTGTTTGAGTGAAACTCAAGAAGCAGGCTTGCATGTCAGCAAATGCAAGATTTTGATCAGTAATAAAATGATCAGTTAAACAATTGTTATAAAGGAGACATATATTTGAAAATCATCAATGGAAGTTTAACAACAAAACTCTGTTTGAAGCCAGTTTATTTTTGATGGAAATGATGGGATAACAAGAGGGAATTTTTTTTATATTATTCTCTGGTGGGTAATTTACTGAGGTAGCCACCTTCAAATCTGCTTTTCCTTCATATTAAGTAATTTGGTTTTATCAACTGAGTTGATATTGAAAATTGGCCACCCTTAAGAGTTTCTAAAGCTGATGTTTGGGTTAGAGTTAAGTAAGAGGAAAGTGGCTAACACTTGAAATCTCAGGTTTAGAAACTCTTTGTGGTGGTCAATTAATTTATCAAATCACATTATCTTTTAAATTTACCCTCAATGGAGTTAGCACCACATTTTCTTTAGAAACTTAATCCCTTATGTAAAAGTGGTTTGGATCCTTGACTGCTTGCAATACTACATTAAAATGCATTATAGATGTATTTGAGAAAGGGTTCAGTAAGGGAAAGTGCTTGGCCTTTTATTATGACTGTATGTTCTTGTGAGACATCCTCCTCCCCAATCACACTTCCCAATGTCCATCCTTGGGTTCCTATATATTGGATTTGAGGTTCACAAAGTTTGATATAGTTGAACCTCTCAGGATAGGACATCCACAAAGCTCTAAAACGATGTCCCCTATTACGGATGGCTTCTCAGTAGTGAACTTTTACTCAACATCTACCCAAGAAATTGGGAGCTGTTCATCCATTGAAGCAGGGGTTTGCTTGCAAGTCAGTGTTTTTATTTGTAGCTGGTCATTGCTGGAGATTTATTATTTAGGTTATTGGTCAGGTCATCTGACAAGGTTCTTTCAGTGGAAATGTTAAATGTACATTTTGATATTTATTTATTTCATTGATTTTTTAGTTATGACCAAGAATTAAAAAGTTTCACTTTGGTGTTATTTTTTTAATTGATAGATTGATTGATTAAACTTGTTTTATTTGTTCATTTTAATATCTAATATTGAATAAGCAAGATGTAAAATAATTTCTTGGAATTTTTTATTTCAGTTGACATTATTCTGCTTTCATGTGTGGCTGGTGCTATTCGTTCCTTCCTCCAGAAATCCAGAGTTCAATACCCTGATGATGTTCGAGTCTGTATAAGAACTGATGTAAGACCTCAGCATTCCAGACTTGAGCTAGACAACAAATTTTCCATGGCTTTTATCAAACTACCAGTCGGCACAGAAGGTACAGTCCCAATGCTTTGTTCTCTAGAACAAATAGTGTTCACAATGGGTTTTATTTATTTTAACCAAGGTGAACTCACTAAAATATTGAGAGCTTTCTCTCAAAATGAGGGTTGAGGTTGGGTGTGATTGGAGTTCCCTTCCATAATAGCCTAATAACTGTGATTTATTAATTTGACAGTAGGTGCACTTGTAGCAATGTAACTACTGCTACAAAAGTGGTCTTAACATTTGTGAGTTACTCAATGTTACAATTTTTATGAGACATAATGCTATGTTGTGCTTTTGTCTTGTCTTGAAGATGACTTGCTGAATTTCATTATAGAAAGTGCTTTTTGTGTTGGGGATCACAAAAAAAATTGATACCCATGACATCTTTATTAAGATGTCATATAGATATTATTTATTATTATTATTTATTATTTATCTTAAGTATCTTTATTATTTATTAATGGCTATAGATTAATTAGCTATGTTTCCTTCTTCGAAGGTGCTGTGCCTCGGCTTTGGGAAACCAGACGCAGAGTAGACAAGTTTTCTTTTACTCTTGAAAGCACTATCATGTATGGCTTCATCAAGCTGTGTCTTCTTCTGTTTCCCTTGTCTGTCGTGAGGAGGCTCATTAATTACCTGCTAAACAAGGTTTCGTGTACTGTAACCCGAATTCCTGGACCTAACATGCCAGTCTATTTGAATGGCAAAATGACAAAGATGATGGCGTGCTGGACTCCTAGAAAGACCCAGAATGGTTTTTCAGTCTCTATTACAAATCATAGCGGACAGATTTACGTCGGTCTAGTTACTAAACCCTCCCAAATGAATGACCCTTCACTGTTACTGGCAGAGTTTGAGAGAGAGGTGGCCGATTTAGGCAACCACTTGGGTAAAAGAGCATTGCCATCGCATCTGCGTTGGCGTCTTAAAGTGGATCAACAACTGGTTAATGCAGTTAACGAGGAAAGGGAGAGGGAGGCCGCAGAAAATGACTTGGTTTGATTATAAGTGAAATTCAAGGCTCCGTGACAGATTCTTGTAAATTTCACGGCAGTGTACAGTCGGTAGTTTGTTTCTCTGAAAACAATCTAGTCCTCTCAATTATGTTCCTAACGATTCCCCTAAGTGTTTCTCGATCGATGGGTAAACCAGGAAAGGAAAATCTGAAGTTATCGTTACCTCTTCAATGCGTTACATGAAAGGACAAAAAAATTAAAAGAAACGTACACCAAACATTATAAATTATTCACGGCTGTGCTCTAGCAGGGACTAAGCGCCGCAAGTGACCAACTTTTGTTGATGGGTGACCTTAACACATGGCTTTTATGAAAACTTCCAAGAGCTGGGCTCCTTTTTTTAAAGTTATTTTTTTCTCAGACCACTGTCGTCTTTACTTTCTACTAAGTAGTTTGCCTACTCCTAGAACTGAAACTTCTATGGTATAGTCACCACGCAATATGGAGCTTTGTTTTGTCGGTGCAGTTTAGGAGAAAACTAGGCTCTAAGCCCTTTACACCTTAATATAAATATCCATTTTCTCAATACCCTTTTTTATACTTTCCTTTGGCACTGACCAAGTTAATTCGTTTACAATTGAAGCTTCTTAGGTTGCCGATCATTTCCTTAATTCTCATGATATTAATGAATGGTTCAACAGTTTTACTATAAGGAGAAATTAGATGCTGGTCACTCTTAGGGTTTTTGGGGTTGAGCAGAGATTTATCGATTTCAATAATTTTATTCAATTTGGCCTCTGTAGTTTTTTGAAGAGGAAAAAGAACGTTTCGTTATTTTTTACCATAGTTGATTCGTACATATTATACCTCATTAATAAGCCTGATAAGATTATTATTATTATTATTATTAATATATAAATATACACAAATGAATGTAAATTATAAAAAAATCTTAATAAGTTCAGACTCAAAAAATGTCAGTTAAGAATACAATAAATATATATTGTGTACTATATGTAAAAACGTACAACAAATACAACATATATGCTTATCCAGAAGGTGATGATCAGTTCTTTAAATGCATGATTTCTATGTTATATTCGTGGCTTGGAAGCTAAAGCCCTAGTGTAGTGGAAGAAATTGCCAAAAGTGAGAGAAGTTTTTTATGTCTTTTAATGATTTAGCTGAGGCTGAAGTCAAGCGTTGGATCACTGCAGAGTCCCAGAGTACCAGAGGTTTTATTGACTAAAATTATCCTTGAAGTTATTTTGTGACACTTTTTAGATGTGCTGATACTGGACTGGAATAAAGGTAAAAATTGGCCAAAAATTAACTCTCAAAGGGAAAATGCTCGCGAAATTTTCTTCAGCTGAATTCTGTTCATACTGTGTGTTGGACGAATTACCAGGTCATCTTTCTCTAGTTTTTCGTTTTCAAATGAATGTCTACTTTGCAAGTCAAGGGGTAGGTCTTTTGGGCAGTTCTTAAGAAATTACAGATAGGTCCTTCGCTCTTTGCCACCTTATCGTAAATCAACAATATTGAGATCTGTGCTTCTGCTGTAGTCCAAAAGTTTAGAGATTTAAGTTATATTGCTTTTGGAAGGAACTTAGGACTTGGATGATCGATGTTATGTTGTGTATGAAATATCATCATCTGAATAGTGACATTATATCATCGATAGGTTTTGCCTGTTTTGGATTTGGTTCTTAAAAAGCTGATAACCTTTTGACCCTTGAGATAATATCCGGTTGTTCTGTACCAAGTAAATCAAAGAGAGCCTTCAGTCTTGGAATCAAAAACTGTTCAAAACATCGCTTAGAGAAGACAGTTGTTTTCATAATAAATTCTGCAAGTGTCATCCAATTCGACATTGGCGTACTTTTACAGGGAACTTGCTCTTAATTTTGGAAACAAACATGGCTCTGCTTGAAACAGAGGCTGGTTTTGACACTAAATCACGTTGCTCGATGAAAGAACAAGTAAGAGCAGGAGTTCACCAAGTTACGAACTGAAAAGTTAATTACATGTCGAGAAGTTCGTTTGGCACATTCCAGTTAAAATTTGTCCATGTTTCAAATCCATCTGGTGCCTGTACTCTATGAGCCTTTGTGTTGCATAAGCCTACCAGTTCATGTTGTCTTTTCTGTTGAACGGATCAACTGATCAGGAGTACTATTTTCAGCCGGTTCATTGAAATGTAAGATGGTTGACGTACCAGACGTTTCTACACGTTGAGGCAGATTGTGAAATCAAAACGTTTCCGGAGATGCTTGACCAATGCAATTTTGATCCACGCCATTTCAAGAAGTTGTTGAATTAGGTTTCGTAATTACCGATGGTTTAATTAGATTTCATCATTTCTTTGTAATGGTAATGCTGAAACGTTTCCCTTTCTTCTTTAATTGAAAATACTACATGACAATTATTGAGGGCAGCGTTTTTGACCCACAAATCTCGGACAATGGAGTCTGAGATGTTTATCTACGACTTTTAGATTGCAGACTGCGTGTATTGAGATCCTTTCCAAATTGAATATCTTGCATGTTCCTTTAATTTTTTGGCATTTGAACATTCAATAATGCAAATTCACACTTATTAAATTCACCTCAAATCCATGTACGGAAAACACAAAAGCTTGTACGTGTTCATTGTTTATCAACAAATCCTGTCTTGGCTCTTAAATACCTATTAAAATGTTACCATCTGACACCATCAAGGATATCTTAATACGATCTTAACACGAGTTTTCAGCACCACGCAGTTCTAAATTGAATCCCTGCTAGGTTGAAGGGAAGCAAAATGGCTTTGGCGCCTTGTAATCAGGAAACCAATCTAGACTATCTCCCTTAATGGTCGGACGTTTATTTGTTGTGTAAGTAAACTCAAGGGTCGCATTACAGAAGAGGGAAAGTCATAACAGCACTAAAAGGAAACAAACTAAAAGGCCCCGCCAAACAGATGTCAAAACGGACGAGTCCAAGTCGACTTCAGAAGGAATTATGCTGACCCATTAGTGATTCTCTCGAGAGCTAATCGTTGGGTCGTTTAATCATATGTAGATCATCGTGAGTCTTACTCGGACAAAACCTTCTTGTTTTCTTCGCAAAAATGAATAATGCGACCAACGGGACGGAAGCACCCCAAGCTCAGATGGACTATGTTGTGGAACCACTGGGCCTTCGAATTTTTCGCCTCACGGTGTATGTCATTATATTCTTGTTGGCAACGTTTGGAAACGCTCTCGTAATTTTCGTGGTTTATAAAACACGAGCACTGCATACAGGTAAGTTAATTTCATCTTCACAAAGCACAATTACGCGTACGTTCCTAAGAGGATTACGGATAAAAAGGATAAACTAAGTACCCCGCTGTTGATGGTCCTCTGCTCTTGAGATTTTTCTTCAAAATCTTTTTTCTTGCGTGGCGTTCAAGTCACGAAAGTAGTATGAAGAAATAGGGTTCTACAAGTTGGAGTCAGTAATACCATAAACACGCTGTTCTTTTAATGGTGTTGTCACTTTTTTGCGTGAAACCTCAACATTCGAAACAAGTCTAAACGGCGTCGCGCCTAAATTCATGATTCATTGTCAACAGAGGGTTTATAGATAAATAGCGACGAGCGGCATTGAGATGGTTAGAAGTTTCCTTTGCCATTTTTAAATTCTAAGCCTATTTGTTACGATTTGTGTAAAAGAGTTATTCTAACACAAAGCGAAAAATCCCTAATGTCCTCATGTTTTCGTGTGAAGCAAAGTTTGCAATCAATTTCGGACACGGGTGAAAAGGTGTGCGAGTTTCCTGTCTAAGGGCAAACAAAAGGCAGTTCCACATCTTGATTAAGTACACATAAATATTTCACTTCGAGCATTGCTCCATTAACTGGCGTGAACTCCCTTTTCTCTGTTGACCCATGGCATAATCAGCGTTGCTGCAAAGTTTGCATAACTTCCAAAAGATCACCAACTCCGCTTTAAGCGTGATTTGTCTTCAGTGGATCTATGATGTCTACTCAAGTACAAGCAAACCATTAGAGGCACCTTGAACGCGCTTCAAGTAACAATGATGGTGAACAAACATTACTACAACAGAAAAGAAAAACAGAAAATTGCAGAAACAATTATTATAACAACGGAAGAATTTATCGAAATAAAGCCAAAGGTTTTGAAGAAAAAATGTTATTACTGCGTAAATTATAAATTGTCCAACGAAATGTGGTTTTTGTTTCCATCAGTAAGCCAGATACCATATTAGAGAAGCAGTATGATTAGGCATTCGGTCTGCCAGCTTTCCGATGAACAAGGAACTTTTTATTAACTTCATAATTACAGAACAAGAGGATATTACGCCATTTTATGTGAATTCCTAGCATTTCCCTTTGCTTTCGTTTCACCGTGCAACAAGCCGATTCCGCTAATTATTGAAGTCATTGGTATTAATAGGACGATCCTATGTCCGTCAGGAAATCATTCACATTGACTTTCGTGACCTTTTATGTTTTTGTACGATTTTTCAAATCACTTCATTTAAAAAACTAGAAATGTAGATTACGGGGGTTAATATTATAAATACCGACAACCAAGATAGGAAAGCGTGAATAATTTATACTCAAATGGTTAGTTGTGGAGGGTTCTTCCCAACTTTCCTTATTCGTGGTTAATATCGGAGTTTTAATAATTACTTACAAAACTCGAGGTCATGTTTTGATACCGAGTAATCCTGAAATATTGCTGTTGTTTTACAATATGGAAACCTGAAGACAACGGATCATGATAAACTTGGTCGTTTTTATTTAAATTTTAATAGAAGCACTTATGAGCTTCCTGAGATTGTGGGTGGCAAGGTAACAGCTTAGCCACGCACAATTCTTCTTAGCTGAGTGTTTTTCCTCTTTGGGTAATCCAAAAAGCATATGTATTTACTTGGCCACCCGCACAAGCTTGACATGTCTCTTGACTGCTTTGTTTAAAAAAAAGAAACTTTTCAAATCGATTGTCTTTTAACTTTTCAAACCACTCGATGGATCTTAATAGCCAACAAGTGGCTGACACTCAAAATTCATCCCCAGGCCTTTACAGTCACTAAACAAAAGATAATTACACAACGTGGGTACAAGGAAAGACTGACAAGTATACTCATCCATAGTTACATACGTTTTACAACAACTTGGCCTACATCAAAGGACTGTCTTAAGGTGTAAATTTACGATAAAAATATTGGGTGAGAGAATTCATAAACAGGTCTTCACCTTTCAAATAGTTCACGGGTTGTCATCTCAAATGGAAGCTGTGTATTTAACTAATTCTCCGCTATTCCACGGAGATTTATTTCTTTTTTCTCTCTCTCTCTCTCAAAAAAAATGTCATTAAGTTGTATCTTGCATGCTGAGACGATCGATTCAAACATTTTCACGTTCTCGTCTAACAAAAATAGAAGATGAGTAAGAACCACATCCTGCCTCCTTCTAAAGAGAACATGCTAACGAATGAATTTTGTTTCACAGTAACGGGTTTTCTTATTGCTAATCTTGCCGTGGCGGACCTTGGAGTAGGGATGCTTTGTATTCCATTCACTGTCGTATATTTTGAACTGGATTTTCACTGGCCATTTGGTGCCTTCATGTGTAAACTCCTTCCTGCTCTGATGGCTTGCTTCGTTATGGGATCGGTGGGAACAATGTTGGCAATTTCATTGGGTAAGGAATATATTCAAAGAATACTTTTAGCAGTAACAGATTATTATACTAAAAGTAGATCTCAATCAGTTATATTTCAATTTTAGCTTCGGTGTATTGTTGAGCCGAATATAATCAATTGATCGCCCAGGGTAGGTTCTTAATGGAAGAAATTGTTTCGTTTATTGCTTGCTGATGAATCCCTGAGCTGAGACTGGGAGTTTAGCCTATGGTTTTGACGATATCGGCACTCCTTGGAAGTAGAGACCACAGAATCAAAGAGCACCCTCCGTCTTCTATTGTACTCTGCTTTAGATAATAGTACGTTCTCCAATTGCAGATCGCCATCAATCCATAGTGCATCCATTTGGTATGCGTATCACACGGTATCAAGGCAAGCTGATCATGTTGTTAATATGGCTGATAGCTCTTCTCCCAGCGCTGCCAATGCTGGGAGTTATGACTACTGAACCATATCCAGCAGGCGTCGCCTGTAAAGAGGACTGGCCTATAACCACTGGAATGCCCTACTCTACAATATACCTATTATGCACTTTTGCATTGACTTACGCTATTCCTCTTCCAATTATGATACTTATCTACATCAAAATCGGTGTAAAACTTCGTAAAGCTATCAAAGAGGGGGCTGACAGACCTGGGTTCACTCAGGCTCAAGCTACGAAACGGATCATCAAAATGTTGGCAGCGGTGGTTGTTTGTTACGCGTTGTGTTTCCTTCCTTTCCACACCTTGTATTTCATGATAGACTTCGGGGAATATCAATCCAGGTAGGTTCTGATCAATTTATCGGTTTTACTATACTATTTCGCGCAGATAAGTTTGTTTTCTGATTCAACAGCCACAAACAGGAGATATGATTAGCGGAATATGCAAGCATCGGTTGTCATCTGCGGTCATCATTCATAGAACAGTACAGATAATAAGAGTTGTGGAAAAAAAACAACAAAACAAAGCAAAACAAAACGAAACGAAACATAATAAAACAAAAAACATCCCGAAATTTCAAATAGAAAGATAAACAATAATTCTAACAGATGTCTCTGTAAGGTTGACTCGGCAAGTGTACAACACGGACTCCCGGAGCTAAGGATTGCCATCTTTTTCAAGAAGTTAAATGCCTCGTTATAATCTTTTTGCCTTATAAAAGTTGATGTAAATTTAGTAAAGCGATAAGTCTAAGATCAATGAAAGGCATTCATATCAAAGTTCCCCCACTCGATACACTATCCAAACATGACTGATCGCTTGTGCTAGCTGCCATCTTATTTCTGGATATACACCCGCGCATGCCCACTGCTTGCTCATCATGATAACTGTATACATCTCACTGTCTAACTTACGTGAAGCCTTTTCCTTACATTATTCTCTCATAGGTTCTTTCCAATCCTCCAAAGTTTCTCAAGCGTCTTCATGTACTCAAACAGTGCTTCCAATCCTGTGCTTTATGCTTTCTTTGGTGATCAGTTCAAAATGGGAGTCAAACAAGTATTTAATTCTACTAGACTGCAGAGGTTTCGATCCAGAAAATCAACCTCTTATGGTTGGGGGTCACCTTCCACAATTAACATTTAAGCGGTTAGTTGTGAGCTGTAAATCTAATGTAAGCAAATATCTAAAGCTTTGATAAAATATTGCATAAAGATCAATTGTAGCCTGCTTAAGTTAAAATGCTGGATACCGTACATAAGTATTCCTGTCTTTGCCTTCCTATAAAAACACACCCTTATTTCCTTCTTAATTTTTAACAAACTTATAGCCTTCAGGCATAATTGAGTGCCAAACAAAAAAGGATAACTATTTTAGTACTGTTGCACCACGAGAGGATGAAGCTAAGAGAGTGACTTCCACGTGTAGGTCCATAAAGTATCCAGGGTATTTGGTTTCAGCTTGTGCGTGTTGTAGATTTTGATGAAGATCAAATTAATGGTATGTCATGAAATAAGGACACATAATTGTCTATTTATAGACCATACTACGATCTCACTTTACGTGAGTGATCTAAGAAAAGCTTTTGAAGGACTGTGTTGAGAAAAAGGCCAATATGGAAGATTTTATCTCTTAGCTTTATTTTCTGTAGGTTAAATTGCCAGAGGGAAGTACAGGTGGACATCTCAATTTTTTTTATTTTTTACCGGCAGATACATGTACATCATGCAGTCCTATTTCCAAGTCCTGATGTACGGCAACAGCGCAACGAACCCAGTTTTGTATGCTTTCCTTGGAGACCAATTCAAGAAAGGATTTAAAAGAGCCATTCGCGGCGGGAGCCAAAGAGGTTTCTACACACCGCGAAGTACGATGAGCACTCGAGCTAGTTCAACTCGATAAAAAAGCTTCCACGTCGTTGGGATTTCCGAAGACCTGGCTACCGTCACTTTACTAAGTTCTTTGAAGGACCTAAATAAGATGGTCCAAGAGCGAAGATTAAGAGATGCTAATCGTATTTGGTTTTTCTCCAATCGCACCACAAAAGTTGTCAAATGGAAATGATCCTTTGCAAGCTTTATAACAAGTCACTCGAAAATTAAACGCTACGAAGCCTTTTGTATATATGATAATCTGAGACTCTGGCCTTTCCAGACATTGTACGATCATTAAAAGCTCCCTGTGAGCTTTTTTACTTTATTTGAGAGGAAGGCAAGGAAGAGGTCGATTTAGAAGTTCCGTTCCACTTTTCAAAGGCTATGACTGTTTTGGTCAGCTTCCTTTGAGGGCTTGCGACCTCTGGGGAAGGAAATGCTCACATTCCCTAGACCCAGAACTGAAACTTTAGGGCAATTATAAGGATAAAAGGATAACAGCCAAAGCCGCATATCCTTGCGTTTTAATGTTCATTTTAAATTTCATTGGAGTTAAAAAAAAAAACCCTTAAAGTCTAATTAAAGTCCAATTCTCTGCGTTATGTTGGCTTTTGAAGTAGTTGTATGCTTGGCATCGCAAATCTACATCAATCCGTGCATAGGTATATCTCTTTCGCTTTAGCTCTAGCCGGTGAATCCTTGTGGGTGCATGCAATTTTTTCTAACTCACACTTTGACAAAATTTGTAACCATCTTTTTCAACATTGAAGACCAGGCTCAAAATTACTATCTCCTTTAATCTGTATTAAAAGGCATCTCTAACATTTCACTCTTCGATAGTAAACAGATTGGATAAAGAAATTAGGTTTTCTAAGAATTTTCTCCTTTGCATTATTTTAAATCACCATTAGTTTGGCAGATTTAGCCTACAGCATTTACATGTTACAACAACATGTAAATAAAGCTAGAAAGCATCAAGCGCTAAGATATATTAACTACACAATAAAATTACCTGACTTGAGTGAAAGTAAGCCAAGCAGATGGGCAAATTTCAATTCCGCATTATATTGCTTTTTTTAGTATAATTTTTCCTTTAGCATTTTCAATGAATATCCTATTGTTACAATAAAAAGTAAATGACAGAATAGACTTCACATCGAAAAGAACTTAACAAGTTTACTTCATACTCAGCATAGATGACAGATAAGTACATGTTGTCACACTTAAAGGGGACTTAAAGAAAATCCAGCGGGTCATCCCTGTGTATTTTTTGTCCGACAATAGCGTCTAAAATCGGACTCTGGCGTCTAAATGCAGAGAATGATTTCTAAAATCGTATACTGGCAAACTAGTCTCTAAAATAGGACTTTAGCATCTAGAATTGGACAACAGCGTCTAGATCGGACACTTGCCTTTAAAATCGGACTCTAAACTCCAGAATCGGACACTAAAATGGACATTAGCGTTTTGAATCGGGCACTAGTGTTTAAAATCGGACTTTAGTGTCTAAAATCAAACACTGGCATCTAAAATCGGACACTAAATAAAAAAACTGACACTAGTGTTTAACATCAGATACTAAGGTCTAATTTCGGACACTGGCGTGTCTAAAATCGCACACCAGAGTCTGAAATCGGTCTCTAGTGTCTACAATCATGCGCTTGTCTCGAATCAAACATTAGTGTTAAAATCGGACCTTGGCGTTTAAAATCACACACTACAAATGGGACAGTAGTGTCTAAAATCATGCAAGTGTGTCTGATATCGGACCCTAGTGTCCAAAATCGGGCATTGGTGCCTGGATTCGGACACTAGTGTATAAGATATTAGATGCCGCCGTCTCGGATACTCTTTGTTGTTTTCAGTTCTCCTACGCCATAGGATAGACAGCCAACGAGGTCTTGTATTCACCCTTCACTCCTTGGCATTGGAAATCATATAAATATTCTCTTTACTGTTCCCTTGAAATTTCCTAAAGTGCTGTCAGGGAGAATTGTTTAACCATCAAGAGCTTCTTTAGTTAGTGGCCACTTCCCTTATTTTCGTGTCTTTAATGTTTGATAGAAGGTTTATGCTATGAGGAGAAATTAGAAGCCAGTCACTTGAGGGTTAAAGTGGGAACTCGATTCTTTACGACATAGCTTTCTTGAAAATCGTAACTTATCGTGTATTATATTTTCTACGATGAATATTCTTCAGAAGGTCCAATATCGTTGGACCAGTGTTAAATTTGTTAAATTTAAAGATTAACTCAGAAGAAAAGATTGAAATGTAAAATTTTTCATTTCGGGGAGTGGACAAATGAAACACGGAACCAGTAGCGATTAATTGAATGCTAATTCCGTCTTCCTCTAAGCGCTGCTCAGTGAAGACTAAAAGTGGAGAAAGTGATACTCATTGTGGTAATACAGGCAAAGAAAATGTGTATTAATAGAGCCCAACCCATACACGAAGACATATTTGTGACTTGAGACAATTCAAAATTCCCCCTCCTTCATTTAATTCCTGTGTTAGGCCCGCTCAGTTCCTTATTTCCCCTTTACCCCGCTTTGCCTAGTAGATCGGTGAGGGGAAGGAACAAAAACCCAAAATTTTCGGCGAAAATCCAGGCGAAAATTCCATCACTTATGGAACAACTCTTAATCTTCGTTATCAAGTCTCCGAGGGTTTAAACGAAATGTGACTTAACTTTACAGCTTTACAAGATAATTTGGTTTTGTCAAATGAATTGATAATTTAAGTTGGTCACCGTATAGACTTTCTAAAGCTGATTTGGTGCCCTCACGAAAATTTGTGAGTCCTCTCCAACACACACGTCTGCGTGTGTAGGTTCCCATGATTTTTTTGTGGTATCGAATTCTTTCGATGTTGGCACGGCAGGAAATAACAGATCAATTCTACAATAAATTATTCTGTAGTTTTTACAGTTCTAAGTGCTTTTTTATACATGTACATTTGAGAGGCTAACTGCTTTAATTTTGAGTAAATATTTGGTCGAAGAGTGAAAACTGAAAACGTTTCACGAGACAACTTGAACCTCGTGGATAGACATCTATAAAAGTTGAACATTTTATTTTTAGGAAGATGGATCACATTTATTCACTGTACCTGCCATTTTCTGACTGCCTTCATAAACAACTGTAATGATAACAACTCGGAGATATTAAACTCTAGCAATGATTGACGACTGCCCTCAACCCTGCTGGTATCAGTTAACCCTTCAATTGTCATTTTCTTATGCTCTCATCGGCATTTCAGCATTGTTAATAATAATAATTCGAAATGAATTTAGAAGCAAATGACTGATTATTCAGAACTTTTAATCACTTCCTCATTTCATTGCGTGGCAAAAACAGACATTCTGTTGTGGCTTCTGGAACTTATGATCATGGAATTACATATGGCTGGTTGCCCTTTTACAGTTACCGAAACATGTTTTTGAACTGAAAAAAAAGTGCAGTTGAGGAATTCGTGTTGTGCGCATCGATTCCACAGTTATGTAGCCAATTATATCTGGTGCGGTTATTTTGTTTTGTCTTTTCGTTTACTTTTGTACTATATACACCTTGTGGTCGTTCTTTTTCCCGGTCGTTTTCTGTAGTTTCAATTTTTTATTAGATACGCAAAGCACGCCGATTCTATTGAAGTGCCACAAGTGCCGTCGTAAGCATGGATGAGTTATATTTCAGCGCACGTTTCTTTAAAGGGGTTTTGCTTCTTTTGAGTAAAGATCTCTGTTGACAGCTCAGTTGTTTACATTAAAAACATGGCCGATGGTGCGGCCATCGGCTGAATACCTCATGAAGGTGCTAATTACATCAGAGCCATTTCTGGTTTTAGGTTCTACCGGAAAAGCGGTTTATGGCAAATTAATTACTTTACCAGCGAATCCCATAAAAGAGAAGGCAACCGAGTAAATATTAGGTTTGCGGAGGGCTTTTTTTAATGAAAAGTCAAGACAAAAGTCGGCGGGGTATGGCTTAGTGGAATTTATAGAAGACCGTACGTAATGCAGTTACTAAGGCTCAGGAGACAGTTTCCGTCCTTGAAGTGGGAAGTGTCATTTAAAACCAAAATTACTCCAGGCGTTTATTCATATTGTTTTCAGAAGTTGAATAAGGTCGAATGTGAACTTTGCATTGTTGTGCAGCAATTGCTTGAGCCGTATTCAGAGGACGATTCAGTTGTTTAGTGAGAAATTTGTGTGATGTGGCCCACAAATGAGACGAACATGCTTGTCAATACCACTTCCACACCGATACTAACGGTTGCCGAACCGTTGGGATCCAAAATCTTTCGATTAATTGTGTACACAATAATATTTCTTCTCGCCGTCACTGGAAATGTGTCTGTACTTGCTGTCGTTTACAAGATAAGGGAGCTTCATTCTGGTAAGTTGAACATCTTGACAATCTATCATTTTTGGTGTGGTTAATTATAACGATCACTGAAATAGCCATAGTCCAGTATATACCGAAAATATGAACGCCACAATAGAAGAAGCACTTTAAAATGTGCGAAGTAGGGTATTGCGTACAAGGTGTTGTCTGCATTAACAAAGTTTCAATCAAAACACCATGTATACGCATTTTTGTTTAGATTATTTTCGATCAAATTACCCTTAAAAGTTAGGTATATGTGCTATCAATGTGCCATACATGCCACAAATACAGAAGGAATACATTGAAACGCGTGGGATAAAAAAAAACTCTCGTGATCGATTGATTTATTAAATTCGTTTCCTTGGTGTCTCTAACTGGTTTATCAGCACAATGGAGCTCAGGGAAGAGTAATAATCTTTATAAGAAAATCTTTTAATTTTAATACTTTACGAAAATATCCACTAATACGGTGTGATGAAAATGGAATTGGTGGCAGATTAACGTACGTCGCGGATCGGGAAATATGCATGTCTCTAACAATCACTCTATTTTTCTGCATGGTTTGAACATGAGCCAATCTTGGTCAACCATATTAGCAACAATCCGAGTTTATTATCGCTGAGGGAATTTAGACGATTTGTAGTCATGATATCTTAGTCAAGTGGCCTTATTAGCTATCCTTTGTCGTCGTGTCAAGTGTTTTAAACACTTTAAAATTTAAAAATTTTAAACTAGGAAGGAATGCATTCCAAAAACGCTCCACAATTGTTTACCACGGTACTAAACTTAATAAGTTTGCATAAAACTTCTATTTTATCTGCTAATGCCCTCGGCCAAAGTATTGCCTACCAGAATCAACAAATTTGTAATTTCCCTAAGAAATGCAAATTTGAAGATTGCTATTGTAGTTTTGGGACAAGATTTATTGAACAACTCTATTGGCTGACCTTTAACAATTTGTATGGATCGGTTTCAAGGATAATTTATTTTTTATCTCTTTATATCGCTTTTATTACTTGATGCAATTGCTTTAAATCCTCCTATCTCCCTGGTGATAAGCCATAATAAGTAGCAAGTGGGTACAATTCAGTTTCATTTAGAGATCAATCATGTCAACAATAGCTAAGGAATTCGATTTTCAGAGCATTCCAAAAACACAAGCACAGGTATGATTTCAGTTTTAATGTTCTGGATCATTCGATCTTTTCCTCTGAACCTTTCGGGATGTTCTAAAAATGGCAAAAGGACTATACCCAGTGTTTTACATAAGCTATGGGTTGTGTTGGCATGTTTTGAATTCATGAGTTGGAATTTGATTTGTTTCACAGAATTGACAGAATTGTCACCATTTGGACTTTAACACTCCATCGAGGTTAACATAATGATTCAGTTTTTTTGCATCTGTTGGTCGTTTTGACGACAAATCTATTGAAGTGAAAAGAAAATGATGGGCCTCCAAGGCTTCAAAGTAGAGTAGATTTGATACTATTCCTTCTCATGAGCAATTCTTTACACATATGGACATTTAAACTCTATGTTATTGGTAAACAAACTCTTAAATCTACTTCATGTGAGTGCTGTTTTAAGTCCCAGCCAACTACAAATTTGCCGCCAGGTGAATTGACACTCTTTTTTTCAACTTTCCTGGTTGACGACAGGATTCTAAGTGGCCCTCAGAAAAACAAAATGGATAAATGTAGGGAATTCGTCGAAGTGCTTAGGCGTAATTGCTTAGAACCGCATGACGCAAACTTATGGCATTTACTCTTTGAAGAACCCGACGATCATTAACATCTGTCCTCGTTTCTAAACATTTATTAGTTAATGACATGTAACTGCATAAAGTAATCGTCCATCAACTGAACCGTTGTCAGAAATGAAAGCCGATGGAGATATTAACTGTTAATTAATATAAGGTGGACAGAGGTGCTAATTAAATTTTGTTAGGACAACAAAAGAATAGAATCAAAACTGGACCAACATGGATGTTTAAACCTATAAAGAATATAACTAATTTTATTGGCAGAATAGTACAGATAGCTGGAGTTAATCTTATTGTCGACGTTCTGACGCCATGTTAGTTTCAAGGAAGGTATGCATCGCTCCAAACTTCTATTGATATGAGTCACCTCGATACAAAGTTCGACGTTCTTTGAAACCGTTTGACCCTCAGAGGTGATTGGTGTCTAAACAGCTTTATGGTAAAGTTTACAGTGACATGTTATGGTTGTAAGACGGTTAGGATAATCAGCTTCAATTCCAGGCAAAAGACGTCAAATTACGTTCGTTTTTATGTTGACTGTTCATAATTTTTTAAGTACACGCACTCTAGGAACTGTCGGGATGCACTGGGTATTCCGACAGTAACATTTAGTGTTGAATTGGACTTCTTAGCCTTTTCCATTTATCAGTTTTTCCAACTGAAATTAATAATCCTCACGCACTTATCTCCGCAAAAACCAAAGGGTTGACTTTATTGAAATGTTTTTGTTTTTTTAACTCCCTAACAAATCTAATACACATCAGATAGCATTTTTAATATTATAATAAAGAAAGTGAGGATTAGAAAAGAAACGTTAGCAGGTTAATGCGTGGAAGATAAACTATGGTGTTGACCTTTTTTTCACTACTTTCGTCATAATTTGAATGCCCTCTTGTCTTCAAAATTTCAAGATTTTTAACTGAAAAAAGTACATGTCGCCTCATTTCCTTCATCTTAGATGGAAAATATATGGTAAGCCTAGATGGAAGCCTCTTAATACTTTCCTGCTGTGAAACTTGTGGGATTACTTCCTTTTCATACCTCAGACTTTCGTGCAGTTTAAAGAAGAAAAAATCAACTCAGGGAGATTGTCTCCGTCAATCACAGCTATTGCTTCTCTTTTCCCAGTTACAGGTTACCTCATCGCAAACCTTGCTGTGGCTGATTTGAGTGTCGGCATCTTATGCATCCCCTTCACAGTTCTTTATTTTGAACTTCGTTACTGGCCATTTGGGTACGCTCTTTGTAAGATCATTCCCACGGCACAAGCAATGTCTGTTATGGCTTCCATTGGAACACTAGCGGCTATAAGTCTAGGTAAGTGTTGTTTTGCTTAAAAAGTGCCAGACTCAAGTTCGCTTTTCTTTGAATGCCGGCTTGGACAAGCGGGTCAAGTTATTAAGGTCGACATGTGTTTCTTCCTTGACAGAATTTTCTGAGGACGGTTATAGTGAAGCTTCCCCGACTTCACGTTTTGAATTCAGTTATCAATATAAACTATTAGGTCAATCAATTCGGCTCTTGGTTTTTCAAAAGATCTCAGATCAGCTGATATGTCTTGTTGGCAATGCAGGGTCCTCTCTTATTTTGTCGTTTTTAATATCAACTGACTCAATGAGAGCCTGACTTAAAGATTATGTGAAAGCGACCGAAGAATCGATAGGTAAATAGAGATCTTTTTAAGATAAGTAGACAGCAATATTGTATAGTAAGTGCTCTAAACAGCTCTTTTCAATTTCAGATCGTTACCGAGCGATTGCTTATCCATACGAGCCCCGCATTACATTATATCAGGCGCGTTTCATCATCGTTGTCGTTTGGCTGACCGCAACTCTAGTTGGCCTACCGTTTGTCGCAGTGATGCAGTTAAGGGAAGATCAGGATGTTTTCTTGTGTTCGGAGGATGGTTGGCCCAGTGAGACATTCAAAGACATTTACAATGTTCTGTCATTTTGTCTAACATATGCCATACCACTACCAACCATAGCGGTGTTCTATACTATAATTGTAATGAAGCTTAATAAGGCCGCAAGGGAAACGTCGGACAGTGAAGGATTTAGAACAGCGAAAGCCAAGGGAAAGGTGGTGAAAATGTTGATAGTCGTGGTGATTCTCTACTTTCTTTGCTTTCTGCCTTACCACATCACATATTTGTGGTTTGAGTTTGGAGAAGGAAAACAGTACAAGTAAGTATAAATATTCTTAGTACAACGGTCTCCATCTCCTTCTCCTTCCCTTTTCACGTGCCAGTTTTCTTTTTTCTTGACCTTGTCACCTTCCTTTATCCATAAGGAATCTTCACATTTGTATGAAATAGGAAAAACAAACATGCATGTCCTTCTCCTCAGTGCTTTAATTTGCAAGTGACTGATACGTATTGATATGTATATATTACTTCCTACAAGTGGGAATAGGTTTCGGTGTGGCTGAGTTCGCAAATCAGACTGCCAAAGTACATCCATTTTTTATCGTTCCAACCATGCCAAACTCTAGCAACAGTCCTGGGGTCTTTTATGTCCCCTGTTTATCCCTGTTTATACTGTATCAGTAAATGAGGCCACCCGCCTATCAATCATTTGAGAAAATTCGATCATAAAATCATTTTCAGACAATTGTCATTTCAAAAGGCAGCACATCTTCATCAGCAATTAATTCCTTAAGTGTTTGTAAACCCTCAAACTTCAGCACGACAGGCTGGTTCTTTCTCAACTGAGTCAAACAGGCAGCGGTGTATGTCATTTTTGTTGTTGTATTCACTATTTTTGTCATTGTTGTTGCTCATATCTTCGTTGTGGCGTTTTTAGTGTTAAAGCTTAACTTTTTGTTATTGTTTACGCTGTGGCTCCGTTAATTTAGTATTAGCAGTTGCTTGCGTTGTTTTGCATTCATATTCCACTACCATTTTGTATTATAAACTTCAGTCACTTTAGTTTTGAATTTTGCGAACTCGTTGGTTGCGACTTAAAGCCGATTTAACAGGCTAATCGGCCAAGTATTGAAAACAAATTAATAAACCATAAACAGGATATGCTTCACAAATAGCCTCAACGTTGGTGTGCGCCTCTCCAATTGTAGATAACCGACTGAGATGCACGCAACTTGTTGAGACAAGAATGCGACACTCTAGTCGGTGGTGCGTTTGTGATACCTCTACGAAACATATGCACGGTAACAAGAAATCAATTTGATTTATGGTAAACATAAATTAAATAAAACAACAACAATAGTGAAGTTGTCTACGCATGTCCTCTGACAGAATGTCTCAAGTTGAAAGCTCAACACATTTTAATATGGGAAACCAATAAGGTAAACAGCAGGATGGTTATTCCGTGTGTTTTACTTCCATCTTTTGTGATCTTTCTTTTCTTCTTTCAAGGGGATTCTGGATTCTGTTCTCCTATTGCCAAGTACTGGTGTACGCAAACAGTGCGGTAAACCCTGTGTTGTATGGTTTTTTAAGTGAACAGTTTCGAAGAGGATTCGCCCGTTTGGTGCCTTGCTGTCGAATCTGGAGTAAAGATTACAAGGTTTCAAGGTCAATGTGCTCACAATCTACTTATTATGATCGTAAGACTGTTTGTGTGACAGATGTTTAGTGTGCTTCTAAGGTTGAAACTCAAAGTTCCATTAGGTTAAGACCAAAGTTTGCACAAAATGTTTATGCTGATGAGCTGAAGACTTTTAGCAGTAGTTCCATTGATGCTCGTACCTCCAGATGCAACATTTTATAAAATATTTTTGAACTGGAATACTATTGGTTGAGCTGCTCGGTTAGATTACACCATGGTGCTTGATTGGGTCTTTTCAGCTTGCAAAGGCACGAAGTGCTGAAGGATCTTGAACGAAATCTTACCATCCCCAGGGATGGCTTTGCCTTTGCATAAAACAGCTTCACCTGCTTAATATAAAGGTTCATCTTGAAAAAAGCAAGGCGACTATTGCAAAGTTTAGCCTTAATGCACGAATCATACAAATAAAGCAGGTTCGATACAATTTTCGTAGGGAAATGTTTGAAAAGGAAAACATATTTGCATATATTTATATATTCATATTTTGCATGTATTTAGATTAAACCGTAAAAGAAGATGTATAGCCTTGTGCTCTGTAAGATGTACTATCGCTTCAGACTGATTATGGCTCCATAGAAATTAAAAAAAAAAAATTCTCCATTTGAGAATTTGCGATTGAGGCTTGGAAACACGTCATGTTCATCTTGAAGGTTTTGCTGATAAGAACATTTGGTGGATGTGAAATGCCTCATCATATTTCTCATACATGCAAACGCTCATCCGTGCATCACATTTTCCATCATTCACTAGGTATCCATACGCCAGCAGTGTTTCACGCGTCATCGAGAGACCGACGACAATTTACCAATCAGTGTCTGTTTGGATATAAAGAGCTACGAAATGAGCAACAGAGAAGATGGTTCTCATTCAGAACGTTCATTTCCACTCGTGCCAAGCCTGGAAACAGCCGAAGATCACTTTCGAGTTGTATCTTGCATCTCTATTTATCCATGTTTTCTCGTCTTTGAGATCATACGTGTATTCACGCACTTGTGTCATTACGAACCCTTTTGCGGTGGGCTACAATTGACAAGGGCCCAACCTTTTTCGTTTTCCTTTTTCTGGTTAGTTCTTTTTGAATTGATCTTCAAATATCGTCTACAGGGGCCACGAGGGTGGAGTAATTTGTCAAGGATCTCCCTGAGGGTTGGTAGAAACTGGGTAATCTGGATTAAACTATTCTCCAGCACCACTACTTTTCGTCGTCCGTCCCCATTTGAAATGATAACCATGCCAGACAAACAGCTGGCCCAATTTACAAAAAACAAAAAGATATTTTGGGGGACTACGAAAGACATGCATTGCTTCTGGCTCATATGTCGCACACCGTAAAACAATTACCATTAATCCTGTATACCTCCGCTCTCATCGTATTTCATTACTTCGTGACTATTTCAGCGACTGGTAATGCACTGTGAGGTTATGAACAACGGATGTTATTATAAAGAGACGGTTATCAAGGATGGAATATTCTCTAGATAGATTATCAAAATAAGAGTTATACTCGGTAACAATTTCTCATGATCCGCTTTTCGAGCAGCCGTTTCTGTCCTCACTGAGGAACAAGCCCTGGAGGTCTTTAGAACTTAATACGGGTAAAAGAGATTTCAGTTAATGTTATCAGCGATATGTTGACGTAAAAAGGTTTTTAAGGTTGACTGAACTCTTTACAAATCTAAATAACTGAAGTATTTAAAATTTCGCATACTAATGTCAGCCATTAGGAAAGCCGTCGATAAAGTATGATACATCGCAGGACATTTTTAAAGATGGTTTTACATTCTCTCCAAGCTTATCTTGCAAAGAAGGAACAATTTGACAAGTAACAGTACGTCAAAATAATTATTCTGGGGACTTTCTCTCACTATTTAGGCAAACCTAACAGTTTTAGATTTTATTCTGTATTCTTTACAAGGACATAGGAGTAATTGCCCTCCGCACCACCGTGCACATGGAATTTAAATTTACATCAGGTTGTGTCTCCACTCTAAACCACTCCTTTTTCTGACAAAAAGGGTTGAGGGTGAAATAGTGTCAGTTGAAACTTAGGTTCTTCTATCCCTTACACTAATAATGCTAAAAGTTAGAAGAGACACTTTACAATTTTCATCCAATGTGAAACCCAAAATGTGATCTATTTACACTTTACGGTATTGTTTCTACTCTGCGATTTTTTGGGCTCCAATTCACAAAACCATACCTTCCTTGCTGGTTTCAGGACCTAATTTACTGATGAATCAGGGAATTGAATTTTCTTTCCTGGTTTACCTCTTTTACATATTCATCTCGTCTTTCTTCGTTCTCTCTTTGTAGCGGTTTTTGCGTAATCAGTACTTGGGTTTATTTTAGCTATTTCTTTCTAATCATACTAAAGTTACTATGCTTGTCTGTAATTTAGTTTTGTTTTTGTCATTCGCCTTCACAGCTCGGTGTAATGGCACTTAGGCTGATAACCTTATGGGTTTAAAAAAAGATGTCGGGCCTTGGGCCTTTTGGATGACGTTCGCCAGTGTTGTGGTCTCAGTGTGCCCGCATTGTTTCACTTCAGCGACATGTATTCCGCGTCCGCTTGGATTGTTACGTGTCCATATACTTCTGGACCCAAGGTTATTCTGTTGCTTTCGTACTTACATCTCGTTTAGGAGGTTTAAATTCACTTTGAACTGCAAGCGAAAAACATGAGTAAGCAAGTGGTAAATTTCCACAAGGAAAGTTCACATTATACTAGTTGTTTATCATCAAATTTAAAACGCTTTGACTCTGCATAATGTTGCTGTAAACGTAGACATATTGATCAACATACTTTATTCTTCACTATGATGATATTGCCTTAACAAAGAGAAAAATGACGTTAAAAAACTGCTAGTTAAGTCTCCTTAAAAAGTAAGTAAAAATAATCAACGACCTCAAAGTTTTCCTGCAATTTTTTCTATATTTTGTCAAACCAACTTTATTTAATTTAAAGTGGACCACATCAATTTCTATTATAGTTTTTCTCATAAGGCAGCGTTCTCAGATAGATAAAACAATACTCCTGAATACAAACCTGCTCAATGAGTTGTTTTTCATTTTGAGCCTCGGCGCAGTTTAATCCTTTTTCGAACATTTTTTTGGCTTCTTCTGTCTTTCCTGTCATAGCTAAAACTCTCCCATAAGTAGCCATGACACTGGCATCATCGGGTTTCAAGTTGAGTAGCTTTTTAAAGTACGTTGAGGCTGTAACGAAGTCCTCATAAAAGGCGTGGCACTTTGCTAAGTTCTCAAGAATTATCTGTGAGTGAATAGAATGACAGAATTAAGGTAACTGTTGAAAACAGGAATATACTATAACAAAAGAAGAACTCAAATGTTACTCTTAACTAGGGCCTGCCTTAGGAGCAATTCCTTGGAATTGGCCCTAGGACTGATGACATTTATTATAGAGACTCTCGCTATTCCAAAATGATTGTTAGAACCACTAGGCATCAGACCTGAGTAACGTACCGTATCACTTGGAAATTTCTCGTGCGCAGACTGGATTACATCAAGGCCTTGTTTCCTGTGCTGATTTTCAATAAAACTCAGATATGACTCATTGTACTTCTCGGGACCAAAATCACCTTTTCCTAAAATCATTAACGTTCTCTGCGAGTCTCCACTTTTAGCTAATTTTGGAAGCAATCGCCCAAAAATCATTGCGCTTTTGGGGAACCTGCAACCAAGAGTACTCTCAGTAAAATTTCGGTGTCTTTCTTTAGAAAAAATAATTATAATATCTCATTAGAGCTGAATTTTCAACGTCAATAAGTGGAATTTAGGGGCCAAGTCTTAAAACGAGTGTGGATTTGGAGACTCAGGCGACAAATCTCCTAAAGTATTAAATTATCATAGGGCTTTTCTAAGCTCGAGGCAAAAAATAAAAATGACCACCCCCGGCCGTATCGACCAAAGGAATAATTTTTACTTTTCAATGCCATGTTCCACCGTTTCCTCATATGGTCTCGTAGGCCTTTTATCTCCAAGTAGATCTTCATCTAAAAAGTCTAGAGCAGCGAAATCTCTGTCTGAGGCAAAATCTGTGCCTACCTGAAAACAGCAAACAAACAAAAAATGAAAAATAAAAAAAGTAAGAGGAATTAGTCGTGTAGAATCAAGAATCATTTTAAGCTTTTTGGTTTTTAATTTTAAGCCCGTGTTCCTGACATTCTAGAACATTTAAAGCCCGATCTTCTAGAAAGTTCGTCAGGAATGCTGCAATTAAATAAATTTAAGAAGGAGAAATAGGAGCTTATTTGTTTAAGTCAATTATAGTTTTAAAATAATTATGATTATATAATTTACCAGTCTTTCGAATAACTGTCTTGCCTCCTCATGATGGCCGTTGTTGAGGTAATAATCTGCCATGCCTGCGTTCAGCGGAGGAATTGACGTATTCATTTGACCCTTTCGGTATTTGGTCACTCCTTAAAAGAAAAAGAGAGATCTTTTCATTTTAGGTAAAACACTGACAATCTAGCGTTGAAAAAAATATCAAGAATGTATAGAGCGAAAATTAATGAGCTTAGCTGTACTATTATATCTGTCTCGAGAGAAATTCATGTTATGCGCTATTGCTGGTCGCTGGTCTGGTTTCAACATCCGATGTGGTTGCGAAGGCCGATTATCGAACTTTAAAACGTATCAAGTTGTGTAATTGATGATTCTTTTTTCATCCTTAATCCGTTAATATTGTATGTCACTAGTTCGTAAATCCCATTTACCGTCATTCTGAAGGCGTCAAATCTTTCTCATCACTGAGTCCTTTAAACTTAAACTAGCAGGCTTTAAGCCAAAAAGTTCGGCAACAAAAGCCACAAGCCATAGCGTTGGAGATAAATCATACTGAATCACGAACCTGCTTTCTTGAAATACGGATGAGCGTCACCAAATTTTCCAGCCACTGCATAGCCGAGCGCTACATTCTCCTGAGCGTTCAATGTAAAAATATGTTCTGGACCTAAAGATTTCTAGAAAAGAAAACAGCAACGGATATGATTATATGTGAGACCTCATTTCATGAAGGTATTTTCATAATAAGCCCGTTTAAACAGTCTAAAAGGTCTTCAGTTCCGTTAATAGTCAAGATTAGGATTTTTAAATCTTAAAAGATTAAGCCTTCATCACCTAGTAACCAAGGCGTCACTATGGCTGCCTTTTTCGAATTAAAGGTTAACCAAAAATATCTAGGAGAAATGTCAAGACTTGTGCCTTCGGTGGCTGAAAGAAAGGGGAGGTGGTGGGGGGGGGGGGGGGGGGAGAGGTTGGAGTGCGAAGATCTTTGTGCTTTCTCGTATTTTTGAGTCATTGAATATTAGCTAAGCTAAATTTACTAGAAAGAGGAAATCGCCTCTCCCTCTGAAGTAAACCAAAATTCGCCGTATGGAATTATTTGTAGTAAACTAAAATGAGATCAACATTTGAAACTCTTCAATCCACCATTCGTTTAACGGGGTTGCTGCCAAACACTATGTCCTTATAATGACCGAATGAAAGCATCATCGAGACATCAAATTAACATCGAAAACTTTGCTTCTCCCGTTGCATGCCTAATAATGATACTAGCGTACGTCAGTTTACCTCTAAGATTTCCGCCGCTCGTATGGCGGTTTCAGCTGACTTGATAGCATCCAAATTGAGTAGAAAGGAAGAATAACTAAGTAACGTCTGACCTACGTCATGATGGTTCGGTCCATAAGCTTTAGTGCGGATGTCCAAAGCTCTGAAATATGTGTAATATATTCTTCTCAACACCGAAGCAATAACAGGGAAGGACAATCAATTAAAATACATATCATTAGAGCTGAATTTACAAAGTAAAGGTAAGGGGTTCAGAGGCCAATTTGAAAACGGGTGTGGATTTTGAGAATTAGGCGGCACACTTTGACTAAGATTTAACCCCCCCCCCCCCAGATTAAAAGCTGTCGCGTGACCAATGCCACCAACTTTGTCAAAGTTAAATACTCCAGTTAATTCATGATCTCTGTATAGCAATGACACCATAACGACGAACGAGCAAAAACAAAGTAAGGTAATTGCAAGTTTACCTTAGATACAATGGCTCAGCTTTGCTCCTGTCGTAAATCCTCAAGTAAGCCATACCAAGATTCAACAAGGTACCACCCACATCAGGCGGAAGCTGGCCAAAATATGCTTCTTCGTACATCTTTTAATTATTATATGAGAGGCAAAACAAACAAAGTAAAAGGAAATACACCTTAAAGAATGCAGGATTTTTTGGATAAGAACTATCCCATTGTCTAACATCAAAAGTTCCTTACGCTAGTCAATTTACATCGAACTTGAGATCCAAGCCATTGAAGCATTGGACTTTCGCAATGAAATATTTTCTAAAGCAAGGAAAGCGTCATAAACTCTATTTACAGTGAAGGGGAAATCTTGTTGAGGTTTATTTTTTCTTTTAATTTATTTCTTGTTTGTTTGTTTTCTATTGAAATAGTGTATCACAAAACGAAACTGGGATACAAACACACTCCTTAGATCGTTAATAGGTTCAATTATCCTTACTTCTAGGGCTTCCTCGAGAATTTTGGCACAGTCCTCCCAACGTTCCATAGACTTATACAAAGCACCAATGTTGTTCTTTGTGTCGGGGATCAGATGATGGGTCGGTTCCAAGGTTTGTCGGTGAAGCTCAAGACATTTATTGTAATATTCCAAAGCCTAGAACACAAAAATAGGTAAAAATTACCCTCCGGATTCCAATTATTAGCAATTTAGACTACAGGCTAAATAAAGATAAGTCGTACATACCTCTTGGAATTTGCTCGTCTTGTAATGTAGCACTCCTAGACCGTTTAATGAAGTTGCTACTCTTGACCACCCATTTGGCCATTCATCGGCAAACCTGATCCAGTCACCAAACAAAGGAATTACTACAATTTGAACAAGTCACAAAATAGAAAGATCTGCGACAACTTCGCGGGACAAAAAGAAATCCGAGTTTCCCCGGGGACTCGACCTATTTACTGTTTCCCAGTGAAGTACTATTAACCAAGCGACTAGGAATTCTTAGGGGACCAAAGCGATAGTTTAGCGTAATGTGTCAAGCGATTTATAGGATAAGTTATATGTCACAAGTTTCAACATGGTGAATAAATGATCCGGCCTATCTTTGCATACTTTTTGCTGAGCTCGAGGACTTCCCTGTGCAAAGGTTCGGCTTCATCAAAATGCTCGGTATCCACAAGCAGGCAAGCTAATGCATTGGCCATTTCACAATAATCCATTGCTACTTTTGCATCTCGACGGATCTCTTCTTCTGAATAAGCTGACTTCTGAAATAAAACGAGGGGAATGACTAAATATACTTCGTTATGATCCTCAACTCGATGATGAACAAAACTTTCAGTCGAAAAACTAACATGAACTGCAGTGGGCGGTGCACCCCCTGCACCTAGTCCCCTCCTTTTGCTTGCCCATGATCGATCCGACTGGACGGCCTCGCATGGGACTTCTAACCAAACACATGAAATAAACCTTCTAAATTGCAGAAAAACCCTGATAGTACATCAAACTCGGGATCCTTAAGGACATATAAACGCCAAATTCTTAGGAAAGAGCAAAATCACAGGGACTAAGGGTGATATAACCAGCTCTTCAGCAAACTAGCCAGGAAAAAGAGAAACCGATCATGTATTCAAGTTACTGCCTGCCTGCAGGTACAATGCTCTCTGGAGAAGTGGTTCAACAGCTGTCATATTCCCTGCATCACCTTGGTACACAGACATTTGGAACGCTAACGTGGCAAGCTGAAATTAAAGGTGACATAGATCAAACAGAGTTCAAACAGACGATAATTCTTCCGTCTGGTTGAGTAGATAAATATAAATTCTCTTGGTTGGATGATGTTCAAAAAAAATCATCAAGAATAGTGAAAAAAAAAATTTCATAATTGGAAAACTTTTCTTTTGCTACGTCCGTCCAAGTTTGGATGGATATGGATATAAAGACCGAGGCTCATCAACGATTTATGTCTAAACCCAACAGTAATCCAAATGTAGCGTTTAAACCCTTTTTTTTTCAAAGATCCTATTTGATTCCTCTTCTTTCTTCTTTGGTAAAAATTGAATTTACCTCTCCATTATCCAAATTGTGAAATTAAAATAACTTTCTTTGTAAGTAACACATTAACATCGTGCATGATATCCTTTTAGTACCTTTTTAACAGCATCGATCATTTCTCCTCCTTTCTCTTGTTCTTTGAGATACAAAAGTGCAAGCTGATCATTAAGCGTCTTTTGATATAAAGCTGTTATTTCTTCTCCTGTTAAACCGGTTGCGTTCCAGTAGCTAACCAGGTCGTACTTATTTTCATCGCTAAAAATGAATCAGAAATGCTTCATATAAATCGTGGAAAATAATCAAGCATGGATAAGTTTGAAATGTGTTTTATCGTGGATTGCATTTAATTTTAGGATTTCAACAATTCACGTGGGAAAATGCAAAGAACATTAATATGGTGGCAAATTATGGGTTCTGAACTGAGCAATAGCTTGAAAAAGGAAATACAAACCTGAAGAGTGACCAGAATATCGAAGCAGTTGTGAGACACTTGATAAGACGATCTTTCTCTCCACACTTTACTAAAAGCCACGGGAGCTCCGTGTAAATGCGGTCTGGTATTGTAGTATCGTAAACCAAATCTTTCTCCTATCGTCAAAAGAATAATAATGATGAAAAGTACAGTGGAATAACAAGACGATTCAGGAGGAGACATCGTTTAGAAACGTTGTCAAAAAGCTTTTCCCTCTCACCCTTAGTCTTGCTCCAAAATAATCCACCAATAATATGATGTAATGAATGGTAGTTGACTTGTCCATGCAATATTTCTCTTTAACCGCTTGTGATAATTCGTCATAGGTAAACCTTTAAACAAGAAGATGCAATCGTGGTATAAAAACAAAAAAAAGAGGTCGCTTAAAATTTTTTTAGTGAAATTTACTGTGGGAATTTGTGGAAGGGGGGTAGTGCGCGTTAAGTAACAGACTTTATTTGAGCCAGATCCTATCATAACAACCACTTGGCCGTGGAAGGTCTGGTTATGAGACTAGCCGATATCTCAGTCGATTCAGCTAACGTGAAATCAATGAAAGGCTTGATGCTTCGTCCCCTCTATGGAAATCACGGTGACATAAATGAGCATGCTTATAATCAATTTTCAAAGTAAATGTCTTAAGTACCCTCGCATGGTATTTGATACGACAACAAACTAACACTAAAGGCGAGCAACGGTCCACCGGTAATAATTTGGTGTTTTAAGATGCATTTACGTGCAAACGAGTGCCAAATACTGGGGGATCCTGATCACAAACTTACAGGGTGATACAAGCAAATATACTGTATTTGGGGGAAGCCGCTGAACGCAAATTAATGGTGCAGGTAACCCAGACTGTTCCTGGAAAAGCAACTTTCTTTATATATATCTTTACATCTTCATTCTCAGTTAAAAATAAGAGTCCAAATATGATTCAGTAACTGCACACTTAGTTACCTGTAAATCCCTGATCGCTCCAAAATGAACTCTTCTATGGCGAAGTAAAGGGTAGACCACATTTGGTCCGTTATCTTGAGGATAGACTTGATCTCTGTCTCAGAAAGTCCTTGTCGAGCCACCAATATACAGCACATCACCTGAGAAATTGAAAAAGCGCTGTTTAATAATCTACTTTTCCATGTTCACTCCTCCAATTCATCTCAAGAACAAAGAAAAAATCGGTTTGTTACACACGTCTTTGACCAGATTCCCATCATATTCTTTAGGGTTATAGTCCACTTCTAGCCGCTGTAAACATTTATAAAAGAGTTCTTTTGTACTGAAAGATGAAAGAAATATACCGCACTTAATTCAAATTTAGAACCTAAAACTAGTAGTAAAGTAAAAGTAATAAAATACATTGAAAGTAAACTTTTTCTCACTCTTTCGTTTCCAGTAAGGAATCAAGATGTGCGTCTAGTTGAAAGAACTCTCCAAAGCTGCACAATTCCTAAAGAAAAAATGAACCTCAAGCTATGTCAAATGGTGAGGGCTCTCTTAAAATATATGCATCCAATCGTATTTGTCTATTTCTTCATTACTTCTCTCTCCCTCTCTCTCCCCCTCTGCATTACGCGCCTTGTTTCATGAATTTGATGAAACTTCTCCTACCATATGCGAGTCGTAGTAACAAAATAAGGGAATTTCCGATTCCTCTGTGCGAACATGTTATTATCTAGGCCCCACTTAGATATAATTATCACACTAAGGTAACAAAGGTGGTTGTGGTAAACTATCACAGGAGCCGCTGGAGCAAAACTTCACATACCTCCAGTAAAATTTTCAGGTACAGAGGGTTTTCTGTTTGCGTCTTATGTACAACTTTCTTCTTTTGCTCGGACGATAAAGCTTTTCCTCGGACTTTTAGGGTTGCCTTGAAAATAAAATGAAATGGATGAGATTAAAGGACATCTGAAGTCAAAATTTCCGCTTTTGAGCTTTGCCTAAGGTCTGGGTTTTTATAGAGGAAGACTTAGAGGATGAGTCTGTCACGTTGGAGGTAACCTATAATTTTGTCCTTGCGACTATGGAGTGAGAGATGCACAAGGTCTCACTTTGTTAGACTTACTACTGCAATTTGTTCCCTTTCCTTTTCAGTTAATGACGCCATATTGATGGTAGCATAACCTCTTTCTTCAGTGAGTTCAGTGACCATTTGGACTTCGGCAGAAATTACCGATGCTATGAGGTATGCATTGGATGGCAGTGCTCTTGGAAGCCAATGTAATATCTAAAGGATAGTATGTAAACCAAGATTATTGATTAAATCAAGAATTCCTATGTTTTACTTTCAATACCTTTTTCGTCTCTCAATCTGATTATCTATCTGTCAATTTACATCATCAATTCAGTTGATAAAACCAAAATATCGATCTTCGCCGTAATTTTCGTTTAGTCAGAGTCACTTATTGGTTTGCTCATTGCATGTAAATGGTCACTTGTTGTTTGCTGGATCATCGACACGCTGTTTGTAGTATTAGTTTTGTAGGATCAATTTTCGGTTAGACAGCTTGTCAAATTAATTACCTTGTTGGTTTTTCCAATGTCATCGACTTTGTTAAGAGCATCAATTAAGATGATAGTGCGGAAGCCTGCTTTAGTAATATTCGTGACGGTTTCCGACAGGTCTTCGATAAGAATGCGAATATCTCCACCACCAGTTCCTGTGAAGTTCTCTTTACGTGATTCCTTCTGGTTAGACATCTTTAGCTTGAACCAGCTGATAAGCTCATCCAGGAGGCGCTTCAGTATCTTCCTTGGCTCTTCAAAGAGTGCAATCGTAATTAAAGGATTACAAAGCTAATACAATACATGAAATAATTACGGGCGTCCGATTGGCTGAAAACGAGTACATCTTTTTATGTAACACGAGTCCAAAGTTGTAACATGAGTGCAAATTACAAATAGCGTGCGCGTGCTGTCAAGATTTCGTCCGGCTTACTTTCTGTTATGCTTTTTTCATGTAAGTTATTATAAGAAGTAACAACATAGGTTCTCGTGCAATTTGGTGTAAATTAGCACTTACAAATTTTTCAAAGACTACGAATTGCACTCACCTTACGGGCTTGTACTATTTTGTTGCCTTTGAAAATTTACTCTTGCTTATTAACACCAAATTGGACTCGAAATCATGTTATGACCTGTACAAAGTACGAGGATTCTGAAATATTTTTTCGAAATGGCAATCACAATAATAAGTCGAACTAAAATTTTACGCTTGTGAGACTGTATCATCGTAAAGATATCAGATTTTGTTTTATTTTTCTTGCACCCTCAGCTTTCTCTTTATTTGCTTCTCTTTCTTTCATTGTCTGTTTGTTTTGTTTGTGTGTCCGTACATGTATATTCCTCACCAGTGCTTCCACTAGAACTACCCACAAAGTGATAAACAACAGCGTCGTTGGGAAATTTTTCTTGGTGGTGCAAGGACCAGCTTCCCAACAAACATGATTTTCCAGAACCTATAAATTGGAAATGTGTTCAACATGAGACTCTAGATATTCAAAACTTTAAAAATTCGACTTTCAAAATATCTGCGTCAACTTACGTATTGGGTCACTATCGTAGGAGAAAAAGGACGAAACATGTGTCGCAGAGAAGTAAGTGACCACATCAACCAAAAGTTTATTAAGTGCCAAATGCCATAGTTTGCCCTCTAGTTTTGAACTCTAGTTCTCCAAAGAAAATAACATCAACGCACTCCATGTCATTCAAAAATTGTCTTCATCGACACTATTGCTTCATCTCTTAGGAATAATCTAACCGAAAAAATCGGCGTTGTTTCACAAATCTTACAACTACAAAGCGCAAATATTCTGAAAACTTCATAACGACGCGAGATATTGTTCATACATAACGCCAATGATTGATAGCTAAATATTTAAGATTCTAAGTGGCGAGTATTTTTATATAACTTTCGTAAATATGATAAAGATAGTCTCTCAGGTAGGATTGGGTGGGTTCGGCTAATCTCGCGGGTACGTACTTTGGAAAAGGTCCTATAGTTACTGTGGTCTTACCTCCATCTCCCGTCACAACAAGATATTTAGGACTCCCCTCTTTGCTTTGCAAATTGACGTGATCATCAATCTTTTGTAAATAGTCTTCCCCGCCCACAAACACACCGCCCATAGCAAGTCTGCTGACCCTAAACAGGTCATGTTGAAGGCGCTCCTCTTCTAAAGGGGAAAGCTTCTGAACAGAGCGAACTAGGATCTCTTCTTTCAGAAACTTCTCTATTGTCTCGTACATTAGCCTGGCTCCTTCTTGTGGATTCTTGTAGTTCATATGGACAGCCAAGCACTAGGAAAAGAAATTAAAGATAAAGTTGTAGAAAACAAGAGGATATAACTTCTCAAGCAAGATTGGTTAGTCTATCCCAGTTGATCAGCCTGACCCCCTCATTTCGTCAAGTTCCTCTAAATGTTCGTTCATCGTCTTTCATCAAGCTTTCATCGAAAGAAAGTGAAATAATGACCCACAAGGCAAAGGAACGCTTTCTTCAGACTTCTATATTAGGAATCTGCCCGCCTATTTCTCTTATGTAGACAACGTTAGATCAAACTAACAGTTTTTAATTATCCTGTTAAATCCAAAATCTAAATCTTGAAAAGATAAAATCTGAGACAGTCACGAGAGATCGATTGAAAGTCATTTTAATTTGAGTTGGAAAGTGTTTACCATGAGTATGAAGTTCCAAATCACGGTAATCACTTTTCAAGTCAAAACTCCATCCGACAACACTTATAGAAACACAATTTTATCAGAGGAAAATATTTACTTTGTCTTTAGTTTCGAGAACTCTCCTCTTCAAATCCGCTAAAAACTCCGCAGCCTTAGGCCCATCTGTCGATGAAAGAAACTTCCTCGCCTGTCTTTTATCACCAGCTTCTTCAGCTAGCTGTAGCTTCAAGTCGTCGTAGGACTGAAATTTTTGTAACGTTGTCAGTCATATTGCCTTACATAAACATACTTTGCATTAATTGAATGAGTGGAGGGATGGAGAAGCTACTACACAGATGCACACCAAAATATTTTCACTCTACTGATTTGCACTGTTCGAAAAAGGTTTAATGCTTCATCGTTGAGATCTATACCCATGAAAATGAATTTAACGCTGCACCTGACGTGATAGATAGAGAGCAAACCTAATATTAGCCATGATGGATCTGAAGTTTATTTGTGTAACAACGAATTCTCTTATTTGCAACAAAAAGCAACAATTCATACGATTGACTGCATTTCTGATAACTCAAGAATAAATGTCCTCATTAATCAAGAAAGGTCCAAAGTTCAAGTGCCACGTCCCAACAATTATGCTCACCTGAAGGTTTTTAAATTTAATTTTCATCATGGCTTTTTTGATTACTAGAAAACGCATACCAACCTTGTCTCTGAAGAAGAAGCAAGCAGCTCTCTTCCCAGGGTTTCTTAGGTGACCATGTAAAAATTCTAACTCGGTCACGGCTCGCTCGCGGTAGTCGTTCAACCAGGGATACTTAACAGCTGCAACATCAAAACTTTTCTGCAATAGATTATCAAATCCATGCCAACCATAACGCTGAAAAACAGTTAAAAGTGTCATCAAAAATTATGCAATTTCAACAAGATAAGTTCATGTGCCTTTTTTTGCCTGATTACCGACGGAAGTATTATTTAGTTGTAAGGCCTGAACATCCATTTAACCCGCTCTAACCCTTGCCTCCTTGCTAAACCTCAGTTGAAAACGGCTTCAAAACTGCCAAGATTCCACAGGCTGAAACGTTTTCTACCTTTTATTGTTTGGCAGTGCTATGGATGGATCTGCCGCACGAGCTAAATGGCATACATTCGCATCTAGTAAACAGGTTTAAGAAATAACTGTTGTTCTAGGCCATTCCAATATTACCATATTCTTATATTCAGGGCTCAAGGCTTCAATTCAATTCATTGACTCCCCTCCCATCCCCTTGGTAACCACCTAGTAATACACGCAACTTTGGTCAAGAGGCGGAGCTGCATGTAGCTTATTTGTAATTTATTATGTTGTGGCTTGTACATTTTACTTAAGCATTTCTTCTTACTTGACCAAAGAAACCCACGATCATATCAGACCGATCCATTTCACGAAGACAGATCTCAATGGTAGCCGCGTTAGATGACATCTCAGATGTTATTCCCCATCTCATATCAACCGGCACAAACTCATATCCGGCCCTCTTGCACATGGACGACAACTGAGGCCAGTATTTCTTCGTTAATTCCTCCCTTTCCTCTTCCAGTCCTCCAAACGGTGAGCTGAAGAACACTCGAGCAGATTTTCGTTGCTGGTTTATATCGATGGCCTTCGAAAGAAAATTGTAAAGAAGATGCTGAGAAAAGGTTAAATGTAAAAATAATTTCTTTTTCCTTTTTTTTTATAATGCAATTGGAAGGTAGTTCAATGGAGCTTTTACACGAAAAATTTGAAGCGAAGCGAGTTTCAACTGAGACTATGAGATCCCTCCATTTTCGAGATCCTCTAGGATGAAAATACAGAGGGTGGCTACGAAATAGGCTTTGATCTTATCGGTTGTAATCGTGGTTAATTTTTTTTCTTTCCTAATTCCCCCGATTATTGGCGAGTAAATATATGCTGAACACGATAGGCGTTGCCAGGAGAGCACTTGTTGACTACATCGTTGACTGGAAGCCGTGTAAAATGTTTTCGAAATCTTCCTAATTACAATAACCCCAGTCTCCCGACTCTCTCCAAAGAACGGAGTTAATCGTTAATGAGCTGACTATCAGCCATCGTACCTCTTTTTAGCTATAATTATAACATTTAGAAAAACCTAGAGAACATACATACTTGATATCAAAGTTATTAGTGATAGCAAATACGAGGAAAGTAAACTTTCCCTCGGAAGAATAAACGAGGGAAGGAATATTTGGTGCTCAACATCAATAGATTCTAATTTGTTCGGATGTAAAATCTAGATTTAATTAATTTACAACTTTCAACCGGCCTTAATTTATCAGAGGTGTGTAGACCAGGGTGAAATTTAACTCACCTTCATTTCATCAGACTGCAATTTACATCAAACAGACGAAATTATCGAGAATGTTTTATGGTGTTCATTCATACGCCCACACCGTGTAACATTTGTCTCACGGTGTCGTGAATATACTGAATTACACACCGTATAGAATTGAGTACATTTAACTAGGGCGACGACTTTGGCACACAGTTAACCCTCAAGAGATTCCACGTTGGCTTTTGTAGACCCTGACCATGAGATTAAGAAGAAAGGCAAGACCGAAGCAAGCAATCGAACGTCGAGTTTGTTATTCAAAACTTGATAAATAAACTCTCTCTTGTAGATATGCTAATAAGTGTGTATTCACACAATCAGTGTGAGCATATCACAGATTTGCATTATAATGTCACGAAATAGTTTTCATTTGACTCACAATTAGTTGACGTCAGCCTCGTTTGTTTACGTTTCCTTGTCCTTTGGAGTTAGGACGGCAACGCCGAAGAAAACGTGGATTGAAAAAGGTATCAATATTTTCAGTAATAATTTTACAAACTCTTAGCTAGGTCCGCTCACACGAAAATCAAATTCGAATAGCGGAATAGACTTCAACAATTCCTCATCGGATAAGTCTTCATTGGGTTTTTTCCTCTTAGTCGATACCGACTCGATTTCTTCTACAGCCTTCAACAGTTCCTCATCAGAGCCACAACTTGCCTTGCAAGAAAAAGTAGCCGGCAGACCCCGAAGAAACCCACCAACAAACATTTTCGGACAGGTCGAAAGGCGGATAGCAGAAAGGAGAAATCAATTAAGAAACAGGAACTAGGATCAGAACATTCCATTCGCCCAAGATGAAGAGTTCATCAGTACCATGTGGGAACTACTTCCCATGTGCGTCTACCTCTCTAGAACCGTAGAAAACGGAACATTTAAATTAAGAACATTTGACTGGGAACAGCAACGTTACTTTTCTGTTTATTTAGCTTCTATCAAACGAGAGACTATTTGTTGAGCACGTAATTTTCTTTTTGATTACGTCCCGTTTTTTACTTAAGGAAATTTACATTTGATAAAAATAAAAACCCTTTATGATGTTTCATATATACAAGTGCATCTGTGATGAACTTTGTAAAATTGACTTTTCGCATCAGGAACGAGACTCAAACCCGTGATCTTCATGTCCTCCTAACAGCGTGACAGCATGACGTCGTTCCTTGAGTATTGCGTGACATTGCACCCTTTTTGCCAATTCAATTGGTCAATGCGTGTCACGTGGTACAAAATACTGCTCAAGATCTCTGACTGGCTACTACCTACACATGCGACATAAACTACCATTGATAAACTATAGTTTCGTACCTCATTCGTACCTTCTCGTTTAAGAACGGTTTTTGTAATCTTTTGTGTTCATGTCATGGATAAAAATGATCACCAAAGTATTCGTCGACTTCTTCTCAATATTGCGTTTCTACAAGTGATTTTCGAGTAACTTACATCTTTCGTGTGTTCGAATCTGTAAGAATTTTCCCCGAGTTACTTACTGTTCAGTCTATTGCTTAGGCTTAAAACATAGAGTGTAAAATAGGTTCGTTATTAAGATTAGAAACTGTTTCCAGTCATTTTTGAAGGAATGCTGTGATCTGATTGGTAGGAGATACGTCGGCGGAAAAAAATCCCCCTTGCTACGCTGGCGCAGAGTTATCAAATTCTTTTTCAATTATCCAAAAAGTAATAATAAAAAAATCCCCTCTTTTCCCTGCTGTTTGCGAACTGTTGCCTTATTTGTTTTCCCCTTGACAATCTGAAATGACTGCAGGTCCTACATACTGTTCTCTGTTTATCCCCTATGGTGCTGACTGGGAGAATTTGTTTGACAATCAAGACCATTTCTTTTCATTGCGTTTTAAGATCATTTCCCTGATCCCTAGTGGTATCGGGAGGAGAATTTAGATGCCGGTAGCTATTAAGGTTTAAAAGGTTTAATCTTCGTAAACTTGTGAGCTTGAAAATTACGATCGAAATGCCATCAAAATTGATTTCATATACCTGACTCAAGAAGGAAGTTGGACCTTCCAACATAATGGACGTTGAAAATGGCACTTCGGAGTCGAAATTGGAAAAAAGGAAGACCAATAATAAAACTTCAAAGTGTACATGAAGCAACTGATGAATGACAGTCGAATAGTCGTCACAGATCAGACGCAGGAGGCTAAGAACTCGTAAGTCGTCATTTCATGAGAAGTGCCAAGCCGGAAGGTAGAAAATTATTCGTCAATGGTCGGAATTCAAATTCCGAGTCCGAAATCCGAGATATAAGTTAGAAATAAGAATTCCGAAAAAAGGATAGTCGAAAGTTGAAAATAAAAGTCCGAACTCCGAAATAGAATGTCCGAAATCCGAAGACTGAAGACGGAAGTGAATAGTCCGAAATAAAAACTCTGAACTCCAAAATAGAATATACGGAATTCAAAGTCTGAAGTCGGAAATGAGAAGTCCGAAGCCGAAAGTCGGAAAACATAAGTAAAAAGTCGGGAATAAAACCCCAAACACCGAAATAGTGTCACAGATCTGAAGTCCGGGAATCAGAGGTCGGAAATACTGTTGTGGCATTGATTTGTGAGCCGACAACGAAACCAATTACATTTTTTCTCATAACCCCATTAAAACATCTGATGATTGAAACATCATTAGGACTCGAAACCCAAAATAAATTGATTAGAAGTCAATAAAAGGCAGGCACAGAAGTAAATGCCTCAGGATCAAGGTTGAGTATTTTATGTTTTTATGTTAATGTTTTACGTTAATGATTTATTTTCATTGTTCCTTTTTTTATTGTTTATTTAAAAGTTTAAGATTTCTTTATTTCTTGTTTATTTTTCTGAGCAAACTTATGTATTTAAAATTAATTATGACGATTATATGATAAAAAATAATTTGTTGAAGCTTCAAAAACTGCTTCCTTCTTGATGGTCAGATCATTTATAGACACTGCAACGATGACACTGTGTCCTTGTTGATAAGAAGATGATGAATGGACACCGAAAATTTTTAACTGCTTCCTATCTGATAAACACATGATGCACTGACACCGCAACTCTTAAACTGCTTCCTTGTTGACAAAGACATAATACATCGACAAAGCCACTTTTAAACTGCTTCAGTTCTTGTTGAAAAACACATGATGCATTGACACCACAACTTTTAAACTGCTTTCTAGTTGACAAACACGATGCATTGATACCGTTTAAACAACTTTTTTGCTGACAAAGAGATGATGCATTGACACTGCAACTTTTAAACTGCTTTCTTGTTGATGAAAACATGATGCTTAACACCGCAACTCTTAAACTGCTTCCTTGTTGACAAAGAAATGATAAATTGTCAGCGCAACTTTGAAACTGCTTCTGTTCTTTTTGACAAAGACATGATGCATTGACACCTTTTAACCAACTTTTTTTCTGACAAAGACATGATTCAATAACACCGCAACTTTTAAATTGCTTTCTAGTTGACAAACACGATGCATCGATACAACTTAAACAACTTTTTTGTTGACAAAAACATGATGCATCGACACCGCAATTTTTAAACTGCTTTCTAGTTGATAAAAACGTCCCACGGACACCACAACTTTTAAACTGCTTTCTTGATGATAAACACATAATGCATTGACACCACAACCTTTAAATTGCTTCTCCTTGACAAAAACATGATGCAAACACATGATGCATCGACACCGCAACTTTTAAACTGCTTCAGTTCTTTTTGACAAACACATAACGAAGTGACACCACAACATTCTTGCCGATAAAAACATGATGCATTGACACCTTTTAAAAAACTTAGTTGTTGACAAAGAAATGATGCAATAACACCGCCATTTTTAAACTGCTTTCTTGCCGATAAAAACATGATACATTGACACCTTTTAAACAACTTTTTTGTTGACAGACATGATGCAATAACACCACAACTTTTAAATGCTCTGTTGAGGACAGACCTGATGGATTGATATCGCATCTTTTAAGTTTCTCTTCTTGACAAACCCATAATGCATTTACACCTTTTCAACAACTTTTTTGTTGACAAAGACATGATGCATTGACACCGCAACTTTTAAACTACTTTCTCCTTGACGAAAACATGATGCATCGACACCACAATTTTTGAACTGCTTTCTTGTTGACAAAGACATGATGTATTGACACCAAAACTTTTAAACTGCTTTATTGTTGATAAAAACATGATGCATTAACACCACAGCTCTCAGACTGGTTTCTTGTTAACAGAAATGATACATTGCCATCGCAACTTTTAAACTGCTTTCTTGTTGACAAAGACATGAGATATTGACACCGCCACTTTTAAACTGCTTCAGTTCCTATTAGGAAACACATGACGCATTGACACCGCAACTTTTAAACTACTTTCTTGTTGATAAAAGCATGATGCATTGCCACCGCAACTTTTAAACTGCTCCAATCAGTTTTTTTTTTTGACAAAGACATGATGCATTGACATCACAACTTTTAAACTGCTTCCTTGTTGACAAAGACATGATGCATTGACACCACAACTTTTAAACTACTTTCTTGTTGAAAAAGACATCATGATGAACAGATGCATTGACACCACAACTTTTAAACTGCCTTCTTTTTGACAAAGATATGATGTATTGACACCACAACTTTTAAACTGCTTTCTTGTTGACAAAGACATGCTGTATTAACACCACAACTTTTCAACTGCTTTCTTGTTGATAAGAACATGATGCATTGACACCACAACTTTTAAACTGCTTTCTTGTTGAAAGACATGATGCATCCACATGGCAACTTTTAAACTGCTTTCTTGTTGACAGACATGATGCATCCACATGGCAACTTTTAAACTGCTTTCTTGTTGACAAACACACGATACATTGACACGCATGAAGTTGCAGTCATCAACCAATGCAAAGGATGATATTACGTCACGACTTATATCTTCACCACACCAGAGGAGATACGCGTAGTCTATCGATATATCTCATTCCATTCTGATCTAAGCAGCTGAGCATGTGGTACCATTTATTTCTGTGATCCAAATTGAATCCTCACGAAAGTTTACCCGAAAATTTCTCTTTCTATATTCTGGAGCATTACGTTCCATCTCTACGTAAGTACATTTTACAGTGATACTAGATGAAATGAGGTTTAAATCCTCACATAGGATTACCTATATTTCTTCTTCTATCCAGTTGGTAGAGCAGATGGCGACGTTTTATGGTCTAAGGTTTGAATCCTTATGGTCAATGACACAGCTGATTTATTTTGTTGTGCATGACTTTACATCGGTAAGCACGTAGAGTAACTAGCAGCAACATCAGTAGATCTGAGGTTTGAATCCTTATAAAAGTCGACCAGAAGTATCATTTTACGTCTTTAACGTCTTTTACGTGTAATTTATTACAAAGGTCGACCCACATTTTTGTTTCAGCTCAGTTGATAGAGCATTGGATACCGATATTGTGAGGTCTGAGGTTTGAATCCTCTCGTAGATTTACCCAGAAATTTGCCTTCTACTCAACTGTGTGAACATTTTGTAGCTATCTTGACTATTATGAGGTTTGAATCCTCAAGAATCTCCACCCAAATTTCTTCGTCTGCCCGGCTGGTAGAGCAGATGGCGAAGTTTTAAAAACGTCAGAAGATAGAGAATCTGACTGCAAAATCGGTAGTTCAGAGGTTTGAATCCTCATTACAGTCGACCAGAGATAATCATTT